TAGATGTGTTTAAAACTTGAAAGGTTTGTTATTTACTTTGTTTACTTTATGTTATACTATTTGAAAGTTCCTTAAGTAATCGGCTTTCAGTTTGCATTGCTTTACTCTCAAATTATGTCAACCTTTACTTTACGGACTTTAAACTACTTTGACGCTAACCACAAACTTATCGGTGCAGTAATACGTTATTTTTAAAACTATGTTTCACTTTTAAACTTCCGTGTAAAGCTGAATTTGACCTTGGCGATGACACTTTTTGCACTGTATTTTTCACAACATGTGTAAAAAAAGAAAATCGCACAGCATTTTAATCGTTTTCGGAGTGCTAAGTCACGGGCACCATCTGCCCAATACGTCAACATATTTCCACAATAAGCCTGAAATGATACGACCCACCCAAACACTTTCAACTATTATACGCCCTGTATTAAATATATAACCGTGATTTACTGCAGATTTACAGTGTCAAACGCCCTGAAATATATTGGTGTGACAAGCTACGTGATGCAGAACGATATCTTGCGATAAGATTTGAAATCGAGGTCTAATTGTATAAAGTGTCAACATTGGATATCATTATTGATGAAACTGCTTCTCTTTCTAAATACAACTGAATATAGGTATGAAGCTGAAAGAACCCGTGTACAGATCCATTATAATACGTGTAGTTACATGACAAAAAGGGATATTTAAGATTTTTAATATAAATTTATAGTACCGAGATAAGGCCAGTGATTTGTTAACCTGTCGGTCACATCATTAATTAAGATTGAATTAAACGGTTGATTAAGAAAAGTTTATCTTCTGTGATTTATCATGGAGGACATAAGGAAACCCCCTCCGGAATTTGAATTTATAACCATTAAACACTTTTAACCGAGTTCATCTTATGCATTTGTATTGTGTTATGTGATGTAATAAACTTAATATTGAATGAAACAAAGTTTATATTAACTATCGAATAATTCTAACCGAGTAATACATAAATTACCCGGATATAAGGACATATCCCTCCCGACCTCGTGTTTGACCCTCAAATTACCCGGATATAAGGACATATCCCTTCCGACCTCGTGTTTAACCCTCAAATGATTTTGACTGGGTAACACCCAAATTACCGGATATAAGTACATCTCCCTCCCGACCTCGTGTTTAACCATCAAATGATTTTAACCGAGTAACACATAATTTACCCGGACATAAGTTCATCTCCCTTCCGACCTCGTGTTTAACCATCAAATGATTTTAACCGAGTAACACATAATTTACCCGGACATAAGTACATTCTCTCCCGACCTCGTATTTAACCCTCAAATGTCATCAGACGATTAAGAGAAACTAACCTGTAATTAACATAACTTACATACCACTGACAGCAAGTTTTTTTAAACCCCAAACCCAATTATTATCTCCCTAGGTTTTACAATAGGAAAATAAAGGTCTTGTTAACGCAGTCAGTGAAAGTGTCCCTCTTTACCGCCGCTGATATAGATTATCTAATAAAAAGGTCTCGTAAAACATCTTATTCTCTTCAGATCACTGTGATAATGGTATATAATAGTCACAAAGTTCATAATGTTTTAATCCGACATGTTAATTTCCCTAAAAGGATACCAACATGTCATCATAATCATAGGGCAAATATATAAACAAAAGAAAAACAGACACGGAGACTCCTGGGAAAGGACAAGGAGAATAAGACCAGGTCTTCCGGCAGACTACTTCAAAATTGATACTTCATTACTATTTTGATACATGCAAATAATGTACGTTAAAATATAGAATTCGGCAAACACTGATTACCTCCTAGAACTCTCAACCTTTACTTATTTGGTTTAATGATAGTGATATAAGCCTTTCACATCAGCTTAAAGTGACTGTTTGGTTAGACTTACTTTTCCGTGATTTCAGGTGTTGTAATACTTCAAATTACATTACCCGCAAAATAATAGCACGATCTGAGAAAAATGGTTAAAGATCAATAGCTTCAAACTAACACTGGTCGACTCTCGCTGTTGTGTTACCCCCATTTGCTGTTATGATCGGAGATAGCCGAGTTCATCACGTGACCTTCCGGAACCTCATTTTAACCCGCCGCTTTTTTATGATTTGGAAATTCTCGGTTTCACCAAAAACTTGACGCAAGATGGATTAGGAGAAGTTTTCTTAGAAATTCATAAATTAACGTTTGCTTACTGTAAATCCCTTATATTTTGAGTGAGATTTTTGTCTACGTTAATACACGAGATGAGTCATTAGCAAATTCCAATCTCTAACGAATACTTGTTCGAATGTTCCAAGTCTTGCAGGGTTCATGTCTCTAACATTTCATCCTCGAGAATAGCGAAAAATAGAGTTCTCTTAAAAACGACTTAAACAATATTCCAACAATTAAAAGTGTATTTATTCACAAACTGAGACAACAATTACCTTAGGATATCAACTCAAGTGTTAAGTGGTACATTTTGGGCGTAACGCGTCTTTATTTACCACAGAAGTATATTTACGACCAAATAACACCCAGAAATATGTCTACTTCTAAACTTATTACGTATTCAAATTGTAATCAGGGGTCTCGCCTGATCCACACGATCGATTCAATTGTTGTCACTTACCCCTACAAACGGGTGGTTTGGCTAGACTTCTCTACTTTGCGATTAATTCTGGATGTGGTTATAATAATACAAAATGTAACGTTTGAAATAATTCAATATTTTATCCCAAAGTTCAACTCTACTATTGTGTTCAATAATATTTTTCAATTTTCCCATTATGTTGTTTACTGAACAATGCTTACTGCTTTTATGGTTGTAAATATCTGCTAAAGTATTCTGCTTTCACACTCGGGTTTTGTAGAATTAATTGTCAGGCTAGCTCTATATATAAAAACATTACAATAACATTTGTGTAGTTAACTTTGGATGTCACGTGATAATTCATTCGAATTGTGGCAGGGTTCAGAACCCATATACTTGACGTTCTTCTAAAATTATCATCTACAGTCAGACATCGTTATCTCGAATTATCATCTACAGTCAGACATCGTTATCTCGAATTATCATCTACAGTCAGACATCGTTATCTCGAATTATCATCTACAGTCAGACATCGTTATCTCGATCTCATATAACTTGAAGACATAATTTAATTCGAAGCATTTCATCGGTCCCGGCAAAGTTTCACATTTAACTCATGGTCTCTCCGACTTCGAGATAATAGGGTTCGACGGTACATGTTAGAATTACGAAATTCATTTAATTATAGTACACCTCCCCGTCTAGATTTTGACTTTATTTCGATTACTCAATCTTTTGCTCAGTCGCCACTTGGGCTTCACAATCTAGGCCCTTGGCATCATTGACGAGTCCCAGAAGGACAAAGTAGCTGTATGAAACAGTTTAATTCATTGTTTGTCCCTCTCGTATCTAATCCTAAATTTGTATTAAAAGGCGCTATTCACTTGTGTGCCTTTTGTACAATCAATAACTTGTGTTTAATGGAAAATTATGGAAACCATTTGAAATATCTGTTTTTTTCTGACTGATTTTAGTAAGGGTGGAGCATCCTTATGACTGTGTGGTTTTATATCTGGTTCAACAGGTTTTAAAGTATGTATCAGTTAAATTGGTGCCTTATTTATGACACTTTCTTTGTACCTGCATAACATGAGGATGATGTCTGGAATAATTCGCTGATGGAGAATGGGGTTTTGTCTCAGATGAAAGCCAACACTTGGTAGCACTCACTTAGAGTTGGTTTGTTAACAACTTGGATTTTATTCTGCAGATTTCCATGATTGCAGATAAAACACTTTGATATTGAACGTTAAACGTAAGGCATATTCCTCAACTTCAAACGAGTTTTTTATCGTAAATTTCAGTAATATTAGTAACAGTGTCACATTGTTTCGACTCTAAGCTATATTATAGTAATAAGCTCACTGTTTACTTCTATTCTTTATTTCTGCCGCAGAAACTGGTTCACAGCAAAATATAATTCAATATCCTATATTCTTCTCGGTTTCTGATATCTTTAAACAGGTAAATCATCAGAAAGTTTGTAGTAATATGAAAGTTTGGTGTTTGTCATTTTCTCCCTCTTCAGTGGGAATACATGTAAATATATTTCCGAGAAAAGCGAGAAAAGCGTTTAGTGGCAAACTTGGCGTGTGTCTTTGATGAAGCAGAAGACGTTTGTACCCTTCCGAAACACCTGGTCCTGCGTTCCTTGTTATCTCCTTGTAAACTATTTTTTGGTCATATCTTGCCCTCGTTTTATAGATGTTCAGTTTGAATCAAAATGTTGTTGATATATCGATAACTTCTGTCTTGGTATTAGTGTTCCTCTCAAAGATTTGCTTTGTTCTACTATCTGTAATATTAAAGTGATTTCTCCAAGTGTACGATGACCATCTGCTATCCATCGGTTAACAAGACCTGACTTCCGTTTACTGGTTTCTAATATCACTAATCATTATTGATGTCTTACCGAAGTCTTTTTAAAATTAATTTCCCTAGTGATCTACATTTTTTACATCTCTAATTTTACTACCGGAAAACGGGAAAAGATATACTGGAACAGTCTTAGAGTTATTTTTATTGAAGATTAAAAGGAGAAAATATATAGTAAATCCACGATATATGGCGTGTCCTTACGTCAAACCCAAATCATATATATTGTCGCCAGTTTTGTTATCTGTTGGTCATAATGAATTGAATTATTTTGTTAAGATATGATCACCGAATTTAAATGTCCGGTGAAAAATGATTCCAGGGAAGAGTGTAATGTTTAGAGTTGCTGATCTTCATGGCGGTTGTCGTCATTGAAAACGCTTATCCTTCCGGAACCATTCCGGATCCTATTTCAGACCTGGTTCTGCCTTTAAGTATACATGGAAATATTTAATCTCACGACCAATTTTAATATGTGAATGTTTGAATTTCAAAAACTATATATATATAGATAAATGTCAGTAAGATACGAGCGTTAAAAAATCTCACCTGGTACATTTGTAATTAGCAATAGATAATTGTGAACAGTACAGCCCTGCGGTCATTGACACACACCACCGCTTCATCTCAGCGGAGAATCTCCGTTCACGCACCGTAAATCGAGCCCGACCCATCTCGGACAAGTACGTAATAGGTATAGTGTAAATCAAATTTCTTAAAATGAAAATGTACAACACTGTGTTTGTAAATCTAAGTCAATATGTGTATTACTACCACAGGTAAAACACCAGATAAAGAAATTTGTAGACGTATATCTCACCTTTCTATAGAAATAATGTGTTGACATTTGTAGCTACTTTGTCAGATTCCTCGATAAAGTAATAAACAACATCACATTTCCGTTGGTCTGTCAACGGTGTAAATCTTTTGTCGCTGGATTACTTTAAAACGAATACATACATTGATGTCTTTCATTCTTTTAATCGAAGACCGTTTGCTGTTAAACATTTCCATCGTGATCAGAACGCCATTTCTCATACATTGTGCGTGTTTTCATCTTACAAACACATACAAACACAGAACCTTATTAGAAAAGAAAAAGAACGATATTGAGACCATACGAATCTATTCTGTATTATAACATAATTATGGTTTACCTCCTTTCAGTGCCGGAACAAGATGTATTCTTATACAAATAAAGAAAGCACACCTCCATGAATTGCCTGATTTGTCTTCCTGTTTCATATCAATATCTCTAATCAGTGTCATATATAATCAACTGAAATCATTCGTCCGTCATTGTCCGCCCGTCCGTCGTTGCCCAGTTTACCCACTGCACCACAGTCGTTTTTCCGTCCGTCCGTTCGTCATTGTCCGTCAGTCCGTCGTTGCCCAGTTTACCCAATGCATCACAGTCGTTCGTCCGACCTTCCATTCGGCGTTGTCCGTCCGTTCGACGTTGTCTGTTTGAATGTCGTCGTCCGTATGATTGTCGCTGCCTTCGTTTGTCATCAACTGTCTGATTCTGTCGTCGTTTGTCTGATTCTGTCGTCGTTTGATTTATTCCATCGTGATCATCGGATGTCTTCGTCTTTAGTTTGTTTTCCAGCCGCGGCTTTGTCATCGACTGTTTATCCTTCCGATCGTTAGTCTTCCTTTATATCAGTCATATACTCAACTAAAGTTCGGAACGAAATACGTGTGTGTAACAGTCGTGAGATAATACGCCAGTAACATCTTTGTTCAAATTCATCTTTCAACTGTTTTCATTGGATCTCCAAAATCAGATTTTAAACCCCCACTTTTTCCTGAAATGGTCTCTACATCACTATATTTCTTGACAAAGGGACCGAGGTACATAGTTTGAATTCCATTCGTGGTATACAACTTCTCAACGCCTTATTGTATTCAGATAATATGTAGTAAGTGTGTAGAATTCACAAGGTCGACAATACTACGACACACATACCGTAGTATTGTAGTCATTTAAACCCACTGCCTGAATTCCATTCACGAAATGTTCAGTATAGATTCATGAGCCGAACCTATCGTCACCGAAGCGTGTAAGGGTGTACCCGGCCGGCGAACCAATGCACTACCACGAGACGCCGATGACAATTGAACTGGACCCGCCTACCTTTATCGGAGGTTTAATATATCTCGACAAAAGTGGTTCAGCTCTGTCACTGGAACAACGCTTACCGTAAGAGAAGGACGTCTGGAACCACCTGTTGTTAACTATGGATTTAATACAGTGATACTTCAGAAACAGTTATAATATTATTTATATTTGATTTTCGACAACCGAAGTGTGTGCTTTATCTCTAGTATTTTGGATCTTGTAAATATTACACAGGTAAAAAAACAGGTAAGTCATTTTTTACATTAATTGATTGCATATTTTGATTTTGACAATTTCATTACTTGTTCCGATTTACAAAAGTGTTCACAGAACTGTCAAAACAATTAAGAATTAGATACATCAGAGTCAGAAGGGGTTCAAAATAATACTTGAAAATAAAAATAAAAATAAAAGTTGCATGCATTAATGAAATTAGGTTTGTCAGAGTTCTTGTAAAAATCAAACATACAGATTAAATAATGTTTATTAATTATTGTATTAATTGCACCTTAAACATTCGGATATGAATTGTTTACAAATATTTTGTCACTGAGCCATGCAATACTGAATATTTACCGTACGAATGCTGACAGATCGAATATTTACCTTCCATTCGAGCGCGGCTTACTCCTGTCAATATTATTGACCGCTTCTGTCTGGAAGTATGAGCTGCAAAGGTTACACACGCGGTCAGAAGGTGTAGGACATTTCTAGTCAAGGCGATGTAACATTTACTCAATAAACGAGGCCATAAAACATTGTTACCGATAACAATTTAATTGAACAGAATCCAGCGCACAATTATTTTTCCAAGAATTATTGATTTACCTGTATTTGTGATTTTCCTGGATGTAGCTATTGCTGATCACGTGGTTTATGTTAATCGTCTACCGGTATAAGAGTATTCAGGTCTACATACCATAGTCATCTAGCATCACATAATATGCTCAAAATACACTATTACACCTGAAATACAATTTTTTGCGCCGATAAGTGTAAGTCTACTGCTTCTTAAGGCGCTTTTTTGTTTTTGTTTTTTTTTTAACAACTTTTCTGTTTTTTCAAAACAATAATATGATGTCCTGAATAAACAGGTATTGCTAAATTTTGTCAAAAGTAAAATAGATGGTTGTTGATTGGGCGTTAAAGTTAAATAAAGTCTTAACACGAAAGTGGAATGACGTAAATATATATGTATAAAGGTAGAGCGTATTTTAGACAAAGATTATGCAACGAGTGTATTCAGTCACTAGGGCGGATTAAATTCACGGTGTGTAGCCGTGCGTCTATGTCGGGAATACAATGACTTAATAAAACGTCTCTGACACGATACTTTCTTACACAGGTGTTAAATGTAAAACCACACCAGTTCACCCCTGACGTAGGTACGGCGCACCTGTAATCTACATACACCACATGTATATATGAATATTTAACAGTGATTTATTCTATTGAGGCTTGATATTCATTAAGTATTGATTGCTAGTGTTGTGGGTAGCTTATACAGTACAATACATTATTTTGTAACATTGTGATGCGTGAACGTACGTTAATATTTTATTTTTCATTGTAAAGTTTGTAGATATTTGGTCTACTTGGGCTGGTATAACAGAATGTATCGATACTTCTTCTTTAGAATGAAAATATTGAGTTGATTGTGTTTAATATATTGACATAGAACAGTGAAAGACTGTTCGCTCTTCCCATGTACTGATTTGTTTGTCGTTAGTATTAAAATTCGGACAAATTGTCAACAAAACTTTTTTTCATAAACGACACAATTTGTCTATGGTATTGACAAAACGGGTTCCGAAACACAGTAGGACGGTCAGTTAAAACAAATACAGATCGCTTAATCGAGAAAAATGAAAGTATTCAAATGTTCACAATTTCATCACATGCTATAGATGCATTTACGGCTGATATTTAGAATAAGCTATACCGGTGTGTGACGCACTGTTCATGTTCTTTGACCTGATAGGTCAGTCGTGTAATAAAGGGCATTACAGTCTTGTCGGTACAGCTCCACTGGGTTGGCGCTGGTATGTGGATGGGTGAAACCAGTGGTATACATTCTTTGGTGAAAGCAGCCGTATACATTCTTTGGTTAAACCAGTGGTATATATTCTTTGGTTAAACCAGTGTTATGCATTCTTTGGTTAAACCAGTGTTGTGCATTCTTTGGTTAAACCAGTGGTTTACATTCTTTGGTTAAACCAGTGGTTTACATTCTTTGGTTAAACCAGTGTTATGCATTCTTTGGTTAAACCAGTGTTGTGCATTCTTTGGTTAAACCAGTGTTATGCATTCTTTGGTTAAACCAGTGTTATGCATTCTTTGGTTAAACCAGTGTTGTGCATTCTTTGGTTAAACCAGTGGTTTACATTCTTTGGTTAAACCACTGGTTTACATTCTCTGGTTAAACCAGTGGTTTACATTCTTTGGTTAAACCAGTCGTATATATTCTTCAGGGGATTACCTGTAGATGTGACGTACTATGAACGTACAAAATGATCAGTATTGTGTATCAGAAGAAGGAAGCGGTATGTGGATAACTAAGTAATATTTTCCATCTTTCTTTCCAGAACCTTGTCTTGAAATGGAAATTCGACGGACACGAACTGTTTGGGCGATGGCCTTTTTGATAGCTGGTATGATGCTACAGTATACTCAGAGCTCTACAACACCAGCTTCAACAGTACCTCAGACGACGACCACAGCAGCAGCCACCACAGCTGAAGTAACGACAACAGCAGCTGCCACCACAGCTGATGTAACGACAACAGCAGCTGCTACTACTGCTGATGTAACGACCACAGCAGCTGCAACCACGACTGATGTAACGACCACAGCAGCTGCCACCACAGCTGAAGTAACGACAACAGCAGCTGCCACCACGGCTGAAGTGACAACAACGGCAGCTGCCACCACAGCTGAAGTGACGACCACAGCTGCTGCCACAACAGCGGAAGTGACGACCACAGCAGCTGCTACCACAGCTGAAGTAACGACCACAGCAGCTGCCACCACGGCTGAAGTAACCACCACTGCTGCTGCCACCACGGTTGAAGCAACGACAACAGCAGCTGCCACCACAGCTGAAGTAACGACCACCGCAGCTGCTACCACGACTGATGTAACGACAACAGCAGCTGCCACCACAGCTGAAGTGACAACAACAGCAGCTGCCACCACGATTGAAGTAACGACCACAGCAGCTGCTACGACGGCTGAAGCAACGACAACAGCAGTTGTCACCACAGCTGAAGTAACGACCACAGCAGCTGCTACCACGGCTGAAGCAACGACAACAGCAGCTGCTACCACGGCTGAAGTGACGACCACATCAGGTGCCACCACAGCTGAAGCAACGACAACAGCAGCTGCCACCACAGCTGAAGTAACGACCACAGCAGCTGCCACCACGGCTGAAGCAACGACAACAGCAGCCGCCACCACAGTTGAAGCAACGACAACAGCAGCTGCCACCACAGCTGAAGTAACGACAACAGCAGCTGCCACCACAGCTGAAGCAACGACAACAGCAGCTGCCACGACGGCTGAAGTAACCACCACTGCTGCTGCCACCACAGCGGAAGTTACGACAACAGCAGCTGCCACAACGGCTGAAGCAACGACAACAGCAGCTGCCACCACGGCTGAAGCAACGACAACAGCAGCTGCCACCACAGCTGAAGTAACGACCACAGCAGCTGCCACCACAGCTGAAGCAACGACAACGGCAGCTGCCACGACGGCTGAAGTAACCACCACTGCTGCTGCCACCACAGCGGAAGTTACGACAACAGCAGCTGCCACCACGGCTGAAGCAACGACAACAGCAGCTGCCACCACGGCTGAAGCAACGACAACAGCAGCTGCTACCACAGCTGAAGTAACGACCACAGCTGCTGCCACCACAACTGAAGTGACGACAACAGCTGCTGCCACCACAACTGAAGTGACGACCACAGCGGCTGCAACCACGGCTGAAGTAACGACAACAGCAGCTGCCACCACAGCTGAAGTAACGACCACAGCAGCTGCCACCACGGCTGAAGCAACGACAACAGCAGCTGCTACCACTGCTGAAGTGACGACCACAGCAGCTGCCACCACAGCTGAAGTAACGACCACCGCAGCTGCCACCACGGCTGAAGTAACGACAACAGCAGCTGCTACCACTGCTGAAGTGACGACCACAGCAGCTGCTACCACTGCTGAAGTGACGACCACAACAGCCGCCACCACAGCTGAAGTAACGACCACAGCAGCTGCCACCACAGCTGAAGCAACGACAACAGCAGCTGCCACCACGGCTGAAGCAACGACAACAGCAGCTGCCACCACGGCTGAAGTAACGACAACAGCAGCTGCCACCACAGCTGAAGCAACGACAACAGCAGCTGCTACCACTGCTGAAGTGACGACCACAGCAGCTGCTACCACTGCTGAAGTGACGACCACAGCAGCTGCCACAACAGCTGAAGTAACGACCACAGCAGCTGCCACCACAGCTGAAGCAACGACAACAGCAGCTGCCACCACGGCTGAAGTAACCACCACTGCTGCTGCCACCACAGCGGAAGTTACGACAACAGCAGCTGCCACCACGGCTGAAGCAACGACAACAGCAGCTGCCACCACGGCTGAAGCAACGACAACAGCAGCTGCTACCACGGCTGAAGTAACGACCACAGCAGCTGCCACCACAGCTGAAGTAACGACCACAGCAGCTGTCACCACGGCTGAAGTAACGACAACAGCAGCTGCTACGACGGCTGAAGTAACGACCACAGCAGCTGCCACCACAGCTGAAGCAACGACAACAGCAGCTGCCACCACGGCTGAGGTAACCACCACTGCTGCTGCCACCACAATGGAAGTAACGACAACAGCAGCTGCTACCACAGCTGAAGTAACGACCACAGCAGCTGCCACCACAGTTGAAGCAACGACAACAGCTGCTGCCACCACAGCTGAAGCAACGACAACAGCAGCTGCCACCACGGCTGAAGCAACGACAACAGCAGCTGCTACCACAGCTGAAGTGACGACCACAGTAGCTGCCACCACAGTTGAAGCAATGACAACAGCTGCTGCCACCACAGCTGAAGTGACGACCACAGCAGCTGCTTCCACGGCTGAAGTAACGACCACAGCAGCTGCCACCACAGCTGAAGTAACGACCACCGCAGCTGCCACGACGGCTGAAGTAACGACAACAGCAGCTGCTACCACTGCTGAAGAGACGACAACAGCGGCTGCCACCACAGCTGAAGTGACGACCACAGCAGCTGCTACCACAGCTGAAGTAACGACCACCGCAGCTGCCACCACAGCTGAAGTAACGACAACAGCAGCTGCCACCACAGCTGAAATAACGACCACAGCAGCTGCTACGACGGCTGAAGCAACGACAACAGCAGCTGCCACCACGGCTGAAGCAACGACAACAGCAGCTGCTACTACGGCTGAAGTGACGACCACAGCAGCTGCCACCACAGCTGAAGTAACGACCACAGCAGCTGCCACCACGGCTGATGTAACAACCACTGCTGCTGCCACCACGGCTGATGTAACGACCACAGCAGCTGCCACCACAGCTGATGTAACCACCACTGCTGCTGCCACCACAGCTGAAGTAACGACCACAGAAACTGCCACCACGGCTGATGTAACCACAACAGCTGCTGCCACCACAGCTGAAGTAACGACTACAGTATCTGCCACCACGGCTGAAGTAACAAGCACAGTAGCTGCCACCACGGCTGAAGTAACGACAACAGCAGCTGCCACAACGGCTGAAGTGACAACAGCAGCTGCTACCACAGCTGAAGTAACGACAACGGCAGCTGCCACAACGGCTGAAGTGACAACAGCAGCTGCTACCACGGCTGAAGTAACGAGCACAGTAGCTGTCACCACGGCTGAAGTAACGAGCACAGTAGCTGCCACCACAGCTGAAGTAACGACAACAGCAGCTGCCACCACGGCTGAAGTTACGACAACGGCAGCTGCCACCACGGCTGAAGTAACAACAACAGCAGCTGCCACCACAGCTGAAGTAACGACCACAGCAGCTGCCACCACAGCTGAAGTAACGACAACAGCAGCTGCTTCCACGGCTGACGTAACGACAACAGCAGCTGCCACCACAGCTGAAGCAACAACGACATCTGCTACGACGGCTGAAGCAACGACAACAGCAGCTGCCACCACAGCTGAAGCAACGACAACAGCAGCGGCCACCACGGCTGAAGCAACAACAACGGCATCAGCTACCACTGCTGAAGCAACGACAACAGCAGCTACCACTACAGCTGAAGCAACGACAACAGCAGCTGCCACTACGGCTGATGTAACGACCACAGCAGCTGCCACCACAGCTGAAACAACGACAACAGCAGCTGCCACAACGGCTGAAATAACGACCACTGCTGCTGTAAGTACGGCTGAAGCAACGACAACAGCAGCTGCTACCACTGCTGAAGCAACGACAACAGCCTCCGCCACCACGGTTGAAGTGACGACAACAGCAGCTGCCACCACAACTGAAGCAACGACAACAGCTATTACCACTGCTGAAGCAACGACATCAGAAACTGCCACCACGGCTGATGTAACGACTACAGCAGCTACCACCACAGCTGAAGTAACGACAACAGTAGCTGCCACCACGGCTGAAACAACAACTACAGCGTCTGCCACCACGGCTGAAGCAACGACAACAGCATCTGCCACCACAGCTGAAGCAACGACAACAGCAGCTGCCACCACGGCTGAAGCAACGACAACAGCAGCTGCCACTACAGCTGAAGCAACGGCAACAGCAGCTACCACTACAGCTGAAGCAACGACAACAGCAGCTGCTACCACGGCTGAAGTGACAACAGCAGCAGCTGCCACCACAACTGAAGCAACGACAACAGCAGCTGCCACCACGGCTGAAGCAACGACAACAGCAGCTGCCACCACGACTGAAGCAACGACAACAGCAGCTGCCACCACGGCTGAAGCAACGACAACAGCAGCTGCCACCACGACTGAAGCAACGACAACAGCAGCTGCCACCACAGCTGAAGCAACGACAACAGCAGCTGCTACCACGGCTGAAGTGACAACAGCAGCAGCTGCCACCACAACTGAAGCAACGACAACAGCAGCTGCCACCACGGCTGAAGCAACGACAACAGCAGCTGCCACCACGGCTGAAGCAACGACAACAGCAGCTGCCACCACGGCTGAAGCAACGACAACAGCAGCTGCCACCACGGCTGAAGCAACGACAACAGCAGCTGCCACCACGGCTGAAGCAACGACAACAGCAGCTGCCACCACGGCTGAAGCAACGACAACAGCAGCTGCCACCACGGCTGAAACAACGACAATAGCAGCTGCCACCACGGCTGAAGCAACGACAACAGCCGGTGCCACCACGGCTGAAACAACGACAACAGCAGTAGCCACCACGGCTGAAGCAACAACAGCAGCTGCCACCACGGCTGAAGCAACGACAACAGCAGCTGCCACCACGGCTGAAGCAACGACAACAGCAGCTGCCACCACGGCTGAAGCAACGACAACAGCAGCTGCCACCACGGCTGAAGCAACGACCACAGCAGCTGCCACCACGGCTGAAGCAACGACAACAGCAGCTGCCACCACGGCTGAAGCAACAACACCACCAGCCACAACACCGCTGGTCACAACACCTTCAGCCACGACCACTACTGTGGCCGCGACTACTACAGCAGCAACCACTACTACAGGTAATACAATTGATAGGTTAATTACTATTTTCAATGATGTAAAATTGACACCATATACAAAAGTGTAAAGTTGTATCTCAGATGGCTTTCTAGTATTGTCATAGAAACATACTTAATCTCCGTTTTCAAGTCTACGTATATACCGCCGGTTTTTAGTTATATGTTTTCCTTAATTCCTTACCCTTTTCTGTTACAGTCCCTCCGGTAAATCGTAAGTATTGTATTTGGTTAGTTTTCCTTTCTTAAGCTATTTCTGTATTTTTCTGTTCTGTGTGCTCTTAAAAGCAGTATGTAGCGGAGAATTATATTTATCTAAAATATGTCATACTTATAACTAATTTTTCAATTTCCATTTTTTTTAAATCATAAAATATCGTTTTTCATTTTGATACATTAAGTAGTTAAAATTATTATTTACCAAGCATTCTCCCAAATATATCATATTAAGTATAAAATCGGTTTATACCTGTACAGTGCTGTTGTTTTTCCGACAAACTCAGACTCTCTGTATCACTGGTCATATCTTTGTTACAGCCAACACTCAGCGAGCGACACTTATAATTGTGACGTTTCCTGTCACTACAACCGTTAACCTGAGTGACACGTCCTCAACTGAATACAATGCACTGAAGTCGGAACTCCTATCTGTGGTAGGTGGCGCCACTACCTGTATATCAGTTGTCTCTTTATTAAGAGAGTTCTGAATGATTAAATAAGAAAAGTACGTCTGATTCCATTACAATAGTATCAGTTACGTTTTTGAAACCATATTTAGTGGAGTTCGCTTTAGTACCAAAGTATAGTAACACCTTCTTGTCTCAGCATTAATGTATTAAACAATGTAATTTCGCTGAACATTTGACATTATTGCCATTTTATTTCTTTATTTTACAGCTGACATTGCAATACGCGAATATTCAAGGCTTTATACGCGTGGTAATCATACAAATTACGTAAGTAACCGTATTTTATACACAAATATGTTATAAAAAATTTCTTTTCGCATTATTTGTAGTATAACACAAAGGCTGTATGTCCACTAGGTATAACTGATGTCCAATTGTACACGGATAAGTCATTGTACACTAGGTATAACTGATGTCCAATTGTACAAAGATAAGTCATTGTACACTAGGTATAACTGATGTCCAATTGTACACTAAGTCATTGTACACTAGGTATAACTGATGTCCAATTGTACAAAGATAAGTCATAGTACACTAGGTATAACTGATGTCTAATTGTACAAAGACAAGTCATTGTACACTAGGTATAACCGATGCCCAATTGTACAAAGATAAGTCATTGTACACTAGGTATAACTGATGTCCAATTGTACAAAGATAAGTCATTGTACACTAGGTATAACTGATGTCTAATTGTACAAAGATAAGTCATTGTACACTAGGTATAACTGATGTCCAATTGTACAAAGATAAGTCATTGTACACTAGGTATAACTGATGTCTAATTGTACACAGATAAGTCATTGTACACTAGGTATAACTGATGTCTAATTGTACACAGATAAGTCATTGTACACTAGGTATAACCGATGTCCAATTGTACACAGATAAGTCATTGTACACTAGGTATAACCGATGTCCAATTGTACACAGTTAAGTCATTGTACACTAGGTATAACTGATGTCTAATTGTACACAGATAAGTCATTGTACACTAGGTATAACTGATGTCTAATTGTACACAGATAAGTCATTGTACACTAGGTATAACCGATGTCCAATTGTACACAGATAAGTCATTGTACACTAGGTATAACCGATGTCCAATTGTACACAGATAAGTCATTGTACACTAGGTATAACTGATGTCTAATTGTACACAGATAAGTCATTGTACACTAGGTATAACATTTATTAAATACCTAAATCAATGAACAACTTTTTAACAGGTCTGGAAGTTTGATTGTGAGGCACGAGGTTGTCACAGAAAACACAGAGGCGGCGGCTACCGGCGTAACTAATGCTGTATCAGATATCGGAAGTCAAAAAAACACCTTCCAGCTGAGTGGTCAAACTGTTGCAGCGTCCACCGTCACCCTTTCGCAGCCTGGGTCATCAGGTATGTATTTCAACATTTTTATGACGTTAGCCATTGCCAGTTATAGGGAGAACCTTATGGATATATACCCATGCATAAGTCCAAACTTAAAAACAAAGAAACAAACAAAAACAAAAAATCAAAATGTTTCTTTCGAATCCACTTTCTAAAAGAATATTGATACATATCTATGGCATTTAACATCTATAGCCATAAAAAACTGACATGACATTCATATCAACTATAAATGATATTAGACCATAGTTAACGCAATCATTGTATAATGCCATCGACATTAGGTTGAATACCGCTGATCGTTGAATGAAGAAACCTGTTTGTGTCATAATAAGAAGCCATCCAGCCTGCATTTTGTCTCAATGCTGGTGTATCTCGATAACTATAGTACGATTGTGTAATTTCTTATGAAGTTTAACTTGGTTGATATGTGTCTCAGTATTTATTACAATGATTACATTAATATAATAAGAGTGAAACTTAACAAAATTACATAAAACGACATTACGATTTTCCCCGAAAAAAGGAGGACATATTGACACGTTTCATTTGTTTACAGACATTACTATCACAGCGGGGACTGACAAATGTACGGTTTTCTCCCGAACGTTCACCTGTTCCAGCGGTTACTTGTGTCAGACAGTCAACGGAAACGCACAGTGTGTGTAAGTACTGGTTTGTGTGAATTTGACACCCACAAGGTTATCTGTAAGGGATTTCAAAACCAGTTGGAATGCAATTATTCAGAATCATGTCTTGTGTTATTCTGATTTCGAATTACTCTCTCAAATAGAAAATGATTTTATTCAGATAATATGTACATGTACTTACATGTACTCTAGAATGCCTAACATTGCCAAACATTGCCAAACAATGCCACACATTGCCTAAAATTGCCAAAAAACTCCAAACGTTCCCAGATAATGCCAAACATTTCCAAACATTGCCAAACATTGACTGTTGTTTTACACTGCCTGTTTATGTTTTCATGACGCTACCTAGATACACTTCCATCTTTTCATGCACGTGCCAGTGATATAATCACCGATCATATCCTATTGTCATTATTCCGTAATGATACCATTCAATATGTCATAAGATATGTATCCATTACATAATATTATATTTACATAGCAAACTAATTTTGTTTCTTTCACTAATTACAGATTATCAGAGACATCTGGTAAGTGTTATTCGACTTAAACTAAAATATCCCGCGAAATTGAAGTCTTTATTGAAATCTTAACCAAATCAAAACTTACATTTAAATTCCTTTTAAAGTAAGCACTGTGATCGAAGCACGTGCAGGGTAATTAAACCAATTTGATACTGAAAGCAAAAAGTTATTCAATGAAATACAACTACAGGATCATAATATAAAGTTATAATTTTGAATTCATATAACAAACTTTTAAGGTTTACATTCTTATAAGCAGTTAATTAAATAACTGTCGTTGAAATGTATTTGTGTCTATTTCAGATGGATTTGACCTAGTTGTAGGGCTTGGAGTAGGAATACCTGTCGCATTCCTTGCGATTCTTATCGGTGTTATCGTGTGTATATACGCCAAACGTTCTGGTCGCAGAGGTAGCAAAGACCTGGAGAGCTTAGACAGGTAGGCAGTGAAAAACACACACACATACACAAGCTTCACAGTGCTCAACAATCTACCGACTGTTATTTCAACGTCATTGTCGTCAGATCTTTATCTGATTTCTAAAATGGTCACAATTACTTAATCAATTGTATTGAAATACAGCTTGTCGATGACCTTGGTATAATTGCTCGGACGTCAGAGGCAGCACACTGTTATGTAAATGTTTGTATAATCATTTGATTAAAATAACATCAACATTGTTTTTTTTCCAGAACTCTCGATGCTGGTATGCACTATCCTTCTGGTATCGCTCCTAAGTTCAACACCTGGGGGCGACCTGCCTACTATCATCCCGGAGGCTGGCAGGACCCAGACTCCGACTCAGAATCTTCCGACAACAAAAAACGAACCAGACGAGAAGCTGATTTGTACCAGGGCAGAGATTTTTATGGTGAGCTAAACAAGAAACTGACTTTTTTTTTTTATTATGTGCTCTTTTTGAAAAAAAAAATCAAATTTTACTTATAAAGCGTTTAAATTTGGTACAGTAAAGTTTCGGATTTATTACTGCTATTAATTGAATGCAACAGTCTTAGTTCTCATACATTTTAATATTGTGAAATAATGCATTCTCTTGGGGATCGCTTCGACACTTTTCAGAAAATGTTTTCGCGTTCGTGGATAGATATAGCTCAAAGAGATCTAATTACACTTTAACAGTTTGTGGACATGTCTTTGTTGATTATGACGAGTACCACCGAAATTACGGAATCCCCCAACTCCCCCCCTCCCCACACACACACCCACAATATAATAAAAAAAATGAAAATTAAACATTTTACAGTATAACTCCTATTACTGAAAGTGGTATGACTGCTATGTTTTGATTACACAGATGTGTAGTAATTGTTTTCTTTACATTTTACAGCGTACGATAATCCAGACACTTCAAATTTCTCCTGGGATTTTATGTACCAATATGTAGACCCTAAACAAAAGGTAAGCCATGAAGACGTCATCATCACGCCTTCTAACTATATCCGCCTCATAGGAATTTTCATCTTAAGTAACATAAGCTATTAAAAAGAATGCGAGATTTTCAAAACAGAACTTTGCAAATATATATTTTTTAGGTTTTAATTCTTTTTAATGTCGCGCAGTTTAAATAAAAGTACAGGTTCGTATTTTAACTTGTTATATCTAACCATAAGACATCTGTATCATCCTCAAATTATCTTGATGAAGATAATTTAATAATGAAAATTGTTTACATCAAATAAATAAGGCATTAATTGGTGACCTTGTAAATGTGTTACTCTTTCTTTCAGTCAAATCTGTTGACAGCTTTCAATATATCGATATCGAGTTCGCCTTTCTAGGGCGATATATTCATGTTTATAATACCTGTGTTGTATATTTCAGTATAAAATACAGAGACCTAATACGGAGTTATCGCCTAATCCTATGTATGTGGTAAGTAATACAAACAATCAGTTGATTAACATCCATTGTGCTAGGCCAGCAGTACTATCGTGAATATCGTATGACGTGGTATTACGACAACATAAGATATCTATCGTTCCTGATTTGATAATACCATTGTTAAGGCTTTGTGTTGGAGATATTTTACCCCGATTCATTGGAATCATTAGAATCGGTAATTGAATTAACATTGGTTGTGATAAGAATGTCCAACTTTTGGTATTAAATGTTTAAACTTGTGTTGTTGAACATTAACCTATATTTACAAAGGCTTGATATTTTCATAACCTTTCTTATTATTTTTTCTCTTTACAGAAAACATAAATATCACTGTTTATAGAATGTAAAGGCTTGCCAAATATACTATGGACATTTCCCAGTGGACGCTCAGAGGTCTGTTTCGACTGTTTCAAGTGTCGCTACTGTAAGATGGCAGGGACGTGAACAAGTACTGACGCAAAATCACGTCCAGTTCACAGGAAAAAATCTTCTTGTAACAAGACAGACTCTTCTAAGCAAGAACACAACTTATGAGAAAAGAATATTTCGTGCTGAAAAAGGGATAAACTGGTTGCTTTATAAGAAGTGATTTTTCGTGCTCAAGAAGGGATGGTCTGTGCTGTCCGTGCCGTTTTCTTTAGTCCTCGGTACTTAAAGGTTTACATGTACATCTTATCCTGGGCTGGAACCCATATGCATAATATATTGACCTACATTTATTTGTTGAAATAGAAATATGTCTCATGTATATTTCTGAAGAACTTTTATCATGTCTTGCATATTTTGTACAGAAAAGAAGTTGTTTAAGTGAATATGAAATGTATTGTGTTCATATTGTTAAACATACAATTAGATGAAAATCTATTCACTCCTCATTTCACTACAGTACCAGCATTGTGTTATTGTTAGTTGTTTGTTTGTACTTCAAACTACCTTTAAACTCATTAATTCTCATGACATTTACCTTAAATTATAAAAGATATTTCATCGAGAAAGCTGTATTGTAGTACAATTGATATTTCATTTTCGACCAATTGATTGTTTGTTTATGTTGTATGTTTTATTTGCATAATCAAATCGACACACGTTTACCTACAGCCAATCAAACCGGCTCTAGTTTCACTTCAGCCACCCAAATCGGCCATAGTTTCACTACTGCCAATCAAAACCTCAATGTGTGATAACAAATAGTCATTTCATTTTTCACATTAAAATCAGTATTGTATATAGTGTGTTCCTAATGCCAGTACTAGTAGATAGGATTTATCAATATACATATGTATTTAATATTTACATATATATATAATACAATATTGACCGAGTTTGGTGACCTTTTATACGTTCATTAGGAGGGATGTTCAGTAAATGTTAAGTATGTGTTAAAAATCAGGTAGATATACTCAAACGCCAAACGCACATTTCCCTTATCATTGATCCAGCATTGTTTGCATATTTGTGTTAACTTTCATTTCGAAATACAAAAAAAAAAAAAAAAAAAAAACAGAATTCATATTATTGCATATGTTAATTTTATTGGACGGGTTTGGAGTGAATGAAGTCGCATCGACTTAGTGAATACAACCGAAAGGACGTTTTTAGGGAGTTTTTAGGAGAAGTGAAATTACGTGTTCAATGTGTGCAGTAGTTCAATCTACTTGTTGAATGTTTAACATAATATTTATGTTATCTATGCAAGTGTGATGTGTGACAATTAAGCTATTAATATTCTATGAATATCAATGGTGTAAAAGTTTGAGGAGGGCATATACTGTAAAACTGTAAAATTCATCTTTGTAATTAAATTGATATAAACAGAAATCAAGCAAATTATTAATTTGCTGCTAAATGTGTGATAAGATTTCAACGTAAACACAGAAGTGAAGGATAACCTAGCTTCAACATAGGAAATCATTATTACTTGGTAAAAAATGCGTATTTTGATAATAATATCAAATAACAGTGCTAAGAAATAGAGATACATTACTTCTGTTATGATTTCTCGTATATTTGTGCTGAACTTTTGCACCTGAATATATTTTCTGACGTGAAGTCACTTCGGAGACAAAGTGTCCCGAAATTCTAAAATTGTGTGGTATCGGCCAGTATATGTGATACACATTAAATAGTGTTAAGTGTATGGATGTAAATGATGTGAATGTGATTACATGAGTGTGAGTGTGTTACAAATGAGTGTTATGATATGGATATAATCTAGTAATAAAACTATTGTTTTAGGTTAAGTATGAAATATCAGCAAACATGAATATCTTTTTATATATTTTATATCATCTTATCATGTTTTAATAAAGAGATAATATATTTTTTTCAATTGAAAGCGATTTCTTTTACTTATTTACATAACTAAAACCAGTTCCTTGTATTTGGAATGTTAGAATTACTGCGAAACACGCCGCATTGGCTGTTTACTTTGGTCCCAAAACTGTGAAACGGAGTGTATTGCGGTATTTCTCCTCTCCGTCCGTCCGTCCGTCAGTCCTTTCCTACATATGTGAAAATTTGTCAGCGTTACAGCCTCTTTATACATGAAGGGATTATTTTCGAACTTCACACGCTTATGTTTTAGTTTCATGGTTGTTAGGTCAATGTTTGGGCAAGGTCAAGGGGTCCCTTTTTTCTTTTCTTTTCTTTTTTTTTATTTAGAAATATTGTAGATTATGACATGACAGTAAAATAGATTGTAGGTGAAAGTAGGGATTTATTTGTTTGTTCGTTTGGTTTGGTGTTGTTTTTCCTTTAAAAGATGTAGGTTGATGAAAATATGGGGACGTTTTATGGTTGCCATAGTGATCTTATTGAAAAATGTACTATTGCTTTGTGTGACATGACGCTGGACGTGTGTGATGCTGCTTAGTTTGCCTGTTGATACCGTTGTTGTATACCTTGTTCTCATTTAAGAACGTGACATTACGGTTTTATTCTCCATGCACTTTTTCAGGATTATCCATGTAAATCTTTCTTTTCTTTATATTTTGCCATAGTTTTATGGTATTTGAGTTCGAATTATGTTGCCATATTGTTATTTTTTGGATGTGTTTTTTTGCGTGTTGAATGTGTTGAGGTTTGCGCTATATGATGTAATTGTATACCGAATTTTGGTTTAATTTGGTCTTAATGCAAAAGTGAAATGTTCACGACCACGCCGACACCACCTGAAAGTTACCCCATACTCTCGCTTTCGCAACTTTATGTCGAATGTGAGACAAAAACTGAAGGGAACTCAGAGGAAGCCAATAAATGCTTGTAGTGACGGCAATTATAAGATATTAACTAAATAAAAGTTTGAACGTATCTCTATACTGTTAACACAGCATAACGAAGTATGTTACCCTGTAAATACTCACAATATACGATAGTCACGAAAAATGTTTTACAGCTTCAACATACCACTAGTACAAAATATAATGCATCTGAGGACACAAAATAAAAAACTATCATTGCATCAGCACTTGAGGACATCAATGTCATATCAAATAGTACATAAAGACACCACACTGTTAACACACAACGATAGTATATCTATGACCTAAACAAAACAATAGGGCTTTGTATACCACGGCATTGACAAAAGAAGGTAACTTATATAAATATATATATAAGAAAATATATGAAGAAAACGGTATACCTCAAATTCAACGCAACAACAAATTTTTTCAAATGTCATTACATATTTCCGTTTAATCGGAAAACTTTAAATGTAAAGTCAAATATAATCAAACTACAGAATCGTTAATTAGATATCGAGAAATAAATGTATATCACAGTGTCAAAACCAAAAAACTTAGGGATCCAGTATATACGGGGGAGGTCCGTATCCTTATCATTAATAGGCAATCTAAATGATTGCAATACCGAAGCATGTTTGGCTAGTATTTTGTGTTTTGGAAGACTGCATAATATATAGGTGGGGATTCTTTCGTTATCAAGGAAGCCCAGTTATTTTTATATACAGGAAAATGTTATAATGTTCGCAGACAAGGATAATGTTATTGGACGTCTTATCAACAGGCACAATAACATACATGTCACGTAAATCTAGAGGTGTTGAGTTAATATCACGATCGAGGAAAAATGACCTGCCAAGTTTGTATGGTCTAGCAACTGTGAAAGATAGGGATATTGAGAAGCTCAACCTTTAAAGTTTTATGTCAGTTTCTCATAAAGTACAAATCAAACCAGGGATATAGTTACATTGTAGTGCGAAGACCAGAACCTATCAAATATATACATATATACAAAGGATTGTAACGACGACATCCAGAACCAACATATTATATGTGCCTTCCTGAATGCCTAGGGAACCATTAATCTTTATGTGTAGGCGTCTTCAATGCAACTTCTTCTCGTTACATTTATTCTAAACACCAGAGACAAAATATGTAAATAAGGTATAAATGACTCTCATAAAGTTTAACCAGTGCAATGTATATCTTCGAAGTGAATATAATCAGCCATAAAGACAGTCTTTAAACGATAATCATTGCAAAACACGTATTGTAAAATATCAGACGATTTACTCTTTCGCCCGTGGAAAGTGATTTTCAGATTAATGTCATGTTCCAGTGAGTACTATAAGCTATGATTTCTCCTGGTATATATTTTACAATTCATCAGTATTTAGACATGACATGGACCTATGTATACGAATACCGCTTATGCTATCGATTACGATGACTTAAAAATGCAGTATTTTGAGAAATAAAGAGGATATACATTTTGCTATAATTTGCAATTTCCAGAGTCTCATGTACTAACAATGTCAACTTTTTCATCTGATTTTTCTTACAAGAATGTTCACACTAACGTATATGATTAAATGATCACACGAAGACGAAGACAACAAAGGTCCTTTCTTCTGATTCAGAATACACATATATATACTGAGGTTGAAAATCGAGTTTATGCCTTTACAAATAGACAAACAAAACCAACATAGTATTTGTGTCTTCCTGTATAGCTGAGGAACCATTGACCTTTAAATGTAGGCGTTTTCAATGCAGCTTCCTCTCGCTCCATTAATCTTCTATCATCGGAGACTGCACAAATCTTAAAGCTGTTGTTAGATTGCACGGATAGACAAGTTTTTCCACATTATCTACATTTTTATCTATCATTATGCTTTCAAAATAAAGTACATTGATTAATTCATTATTTAATACGTAGAGAAACATGAAACATTTTGGACATCTACAGAAATTGCATCAGCGACGTCTTAAGTGGAAATAAATCAGACTATATTAAAGTATGATATAACTTTATAGCTTTCAAGCTCAATCTCTGTGAAATATAATCATTTTTGCACCATTTATTATTTTTTTCTTATTTTGTATTATTACTATGTCATGGTGATACGAACAAATCTGGTACCTTTGTTGTGTTGGTAATTGAAAGTTATTCGTCATCTTACTTTTTAAATCAATCGAGTAGTAAATGCATGTGTGATATGAAAACAGCAACGCCTATAAATTATGCGAAATCATGGGCGGGGTTGTTTATACTTAGAGAGATAACAGACATTTGAACAAGAAATTTACTGATTACGTCATGCCCTTCCCTTCATGGTGTATCCGGCAAGTTATAGTCCAACCCTTGTTTATGAAGACTGGTATTCAGAAAGAGCAAGAAAAAGCTTATACATATATTATCTTCCAGAAAATAAATGGATACTATTGTATCTAATTGGGTAAAGAAACATCCAAAACGACGACGACGACGACCATGAAAATAACAAGGACAAATACTGACAGTTACATCAAAATCAGCGACGTCATTTATACCAACGACAACAACGACAATTACGCTAACGACAACGACGACGTCAATTATACCAACGATATCAAAGACGATTTTTACACCAAAGACAACTAACTATTAAATGATAAATATGACACTTATACTTTTTAGATCCAATAGGACACAAACAAATGACAAACAAATGACACATATAATATGTACACCTTATTTTATTTCGCTACAGATCACTTTTCTTTATGTCATAGATAGTCCTCAAGAGACAAATGATTGTTTTCAACAATGACTTATTTCCAACATTCTGCAAAGGCAATCTTGAGTTTCTATGAAAAATATCTACCAAGTGAAATCTACGATGTAAATCAACAATGTATGAAAAAGTCCACGTCCTAAAATTTACTGATACGTGTATTTACGTTGAATAAATTGATGTAGTTTTAAATTTAATACATAAAAGTTGACTGATTCCTGCGTGCTCCTATCCGTGTATAAGCTAAATTAACACGTACATTGAATTCTTTAGTGAATATTTTCACCACGTTAAATATTCCTGTTTGTTTGTTTTTTTATTTCACAGACAAATAATAAAAAATAAATTTATATTCGAAAGTATTTGAAATTGACCATGTGTTACAAATTCCGTGTTAACTTTATACATTGCATCAACGCTGAATCATAATTAACTGATTACATATTGATTGTTTAAGTAATAATTGATTGTTTACATCAACATAAACCGTTCAAAACAGAAAAAAACATAAAAATATATGTCATCATATTTCATAACTTTGGTTACTTGAAACGTAACCCATCAGACTAATTAAAAAGAATGTTTCTCAAAAATGAAATAAAAATCAACGTAGTTTTACATGTTGATATTAGGATTCATCTTAAAGAGAAGAAGGCACTTGTCAACATTTTACAAAATTATGAACAAACGCAAGAATATGGTGACATATACCGGATACAAAATACACAGAGACTCTCCATTATTACAACAGATATACGCTTGCCTTTCTTAAATGATATTTCCATATTAGAAGCATACCATTAAAAGAAGTATAAAATGTTTTTTACAGAGAACCAGCTCTGACCACTCAATTAAATTGGAATAAGAAAGACCACATGCAATAAATATTTATAGCAAATTCTTTTAATAAATATCTATATCATCACCTACTGTTTGTTTTCAACACGTAATGATAATCATCCCTATTGTTTCCCTCTTAGAAAACATCGCCGTTTGACTAGCTTTGGGTTTCATATAAAAGCTTAATTCTGTAACTACCCAGAATATCACAATGTTCATTGCCATTATTATAGGTGGTAGCCTTAACAGAAGGGTTAACGTTGACAAATCTCCATGTGATTTGTTAATTTAACTATAACTACATGGTAGATACATAAGACAGTTCTTTTTTACAACGTTCCATGGTAATTGTTACAGGAAGTATCCATATAATTTTCTCACATACAAATATCAACCTACATATTTGTCATTATCTTTAACTCATTAGATACAAAGTCTTCCAGTTTAAACTTCGTTCTACAAAGTTGGTTTAATCGAAAAAGAAGACCTCTACAGCGTTTTCACCAATATTGTGTAGGTCATATCGGACTCCAAACTATCTATATTACACCAGGTGGGTAGTTCATTCCATATATGTATGTAAAAGACTGCAATGTTTATACTACATCGTATGGGATATATTGAACCCCAACGGTATATACCTCATGTACTGTGATGTATATACATCTCAACATTATTAACCTTTCATGCGCTGTATCATGAGAGTTTGAGCCCAATAAGTCGGGGTTACATAGAACCCCAGAGGGTAATTCCAGTGAGGTGCGAAATATATACAACCCCGAAGTATAACCTTTCATCATGCTGGGTTTATATGGATCCTCACAGGGTTAACATTGTATAATCTGGGGTATATTGAACCCTACAATGGAAGCCCTTCATCTAATGAGGTATTTAGAGTCCCACAATATCTAAATATAATAAAGGGTGGGTTACATGGAATTTCACATTGTTAACGAAACTTAATGTGTGTTATATGGAACATCATAGTGTTAGTCCTTGTATGGAATATGTGGGACTCCACAGTGTTTACCCTACATTGTTTGGGTTATAAAGTACTCCACAGTGGTTCCCCTACATCGTGTGGGTTATTTGGTACTCCACAGTGAAAACCAAAAACATTGTGAGTTATATTGCCCCTCTTAGTTGTAACCCAGTACATTCTGGAGTATATAGGATTTCGCAGTGTTTATCCTACATCTTGTGGAGTATTTGGGACATCTCTGCTTTATTTGGAGTGTTATGGTATAACAACGTTATTACTCTACATTCCGTTTGTTGTATGAAACTTTATAGAGTTACCCTTATATCCATCTGTAACCCTATATGGCACATTTATTTATGAATGAACTGTACATGTAAAGGTTATACAATTCTAGCAACATCCCAGTATTGATAACTATCATAATAAATGACATCATCGCGTGAACATACATTGACACATCATTCACTGGCATCATCTTCATATGGCAATCACCCGAAAGCATCTATATTACAACTTCCTTAGGAAATATTTCATACATCATGGTGGATTTAATTATATATTCTTTGAAGTTTAAATTTCATAGCATAGTATGTTTGGGACCTAACACCATTGTAATATAATTCATATAGTACCCATTGCATTTTTATAAGTAATATATAAATATAGCTATACATATTGCACAACACCACAAGTAATTACCTAAATTTTAAAAACCTTAAAAAACATTCACTGAAATACCAATATAAATATCGCGTGAATGTTACAGCACCATAGGTAAGTATTGAATAAATATACAGTAAAACCATCTTCTTTAATTAATGAGCTAATTAATGCTTAATTCAAAACTAGAGTTGCTTTGTCCCGAAATGTCAACGTACATCATCTCCAGATCACTGCAATAAAAGACAATAAAAATTAATTTCACGACTTCCTATCGAAACATTTACATACATGGACGCGGGTGTATGATTTCAATTAAGTTATAAATCCTGTAATTATATTAATATTGACTTAGATGATATATAAATCGATATCATGTATTAGAAAAGTTTCATACGTAAATCCTTATTTACTTATATAAACAAAAAAGGAATTATATATATTTATGTGTGTATAAACATGCGAACAGGATGTATCAAATCTACAATTGATGTTCCACACAGAAAGAGATTATTTTTATTTAAAACAATATAGGTTTATTGGATTTTATGTATGGTGAATTTATTCATCAATTATTGTTTATCATGATTTAAGAACGTACATAAACTTCATCAGGTGTTTGTCGTATCTTTGGGCGACGGATCTTAAACTGTAAACAAAATGATGTTTCAAATTAGTGTTTAGGTAAACCGGTCATCAAACATGATGGAAAGGATACAAGACACAAGACATGCAGAAAATAAGTTAGAATTCAGATACGAGTTGACAATGCTTTAGCTATTGTTACAATGAGTAGACTATAGATTCAAGGATCTGAGGTATTTTATCAGGTAATATCTGTATAAATATTATATATATAGACAAATATAGCCATGAATGAGACGAGTTACCTGATGCAAGTGGTTTCCCTATTTTATCATAGAATAGATGAGATATGTACATCGAAGGTGAAACCCTTGGATTTCGTACAGATATATATCACGAATTCCAATACATATCACGTCGAACTTTTGTTATATTAATTCTACCAACCTCGTCACCAGTGTTGTGTACGATATCCCAGGATGACAAATAAAATGGAGAAGAGGCTGGACCTGAAATTAACAATGGCGTGCACTACTTTAAATGTGTTTTTATGGACAAAACCTTAAACATAAACAATATTTAAAATCATTCGACTCTAAACGGTTAAAATCAAAGAAATCGTCATGTTACTGACTGTCTCTATTCCTAAATCCATGTAAACTTACCTTTTGGATACGTGTCATCATCAAGCCTACGTGTTGACTTAGGTGAGCTGGAGACACTGGACAGAGACTCCGTGTCCATCCATTGGTCCGGATGCTGGTACGGTTGTCGTCCCACGCTATGGAACTTCGGTATGATAGCCGTGGTGAACACACTGTACTCTGGTGATCTGTTCAAATAACGACAATGCAAGGGAGATAATTCAATAAGACATGTGCCATGATTAGTTACTTATAATTTCAATTTCTCTGATTGTATAGTAAAGGGGCATCAACTTGTGTCGCATTGCTATGGACAGTCATATCTTATTAGGTGATATGAAATACAATAAACTGAGCAGATCAATAAATAGGTCTTAAATGTCTCTAAAAACAGAAAGAAGAAAACAGACTCCGTCTACGCGGGTTTAACATGAATTTTCAAACTTAATAAACAGCGAATCTGATCACTAAACTTCAATATCATATATCTTACACGAAAGTAAGATCCTCTTTATCTCATCAGCTATTATTTTGCAAACGGTAAGAAACATGTCTTTGTTTAAGTCAGCTTTGCTCTTTACCTAAGTGTCTTAATTGTGGTGATAATATATTAGAGGAGTAAGTGATGCGATTGTCATCGTAGTCATAAAAAAATAGTTCAGGAATAAAACAGTATTCAAGTAACCAATCAAATACAGTAAATCAATGAATTCAGAGATATTCTGTCATTTTGTTTCAGGGATTCCAGAACGGGATGTAATGCTTGAGCGATAATCTCAACCCGGCTCATCACGCCTTAAATTGCCAACATATATCACAAAAGATGGCTAAAGTTTTTACTTACATGAAATGTTGATAAATCAAAATGAATGTAAATTCGTCCCTACTTTGAATAGAAGTAGGTTGGTGTTCATCACATGTAGGATTTTATGTAAATCTCTATTATGTGAGATTTATGAAGATTCTCACATATCTAACCAAGATTCATAAATTTGATAAAAATGGAAACGAAACATTTTTTTCCGCTGATATAAAATCTACATAAGCGATATTTGTATTCCACATCCATTTCTTTGGTAACGACAAAATGCATATGACACCATGACTTTATGACGTCATAATGGAAACATCCAGAACCTTCTAACAAGCAAACTCACGCCAGGTATTATTACACGTTTGATAATATTGTAATTTACGTAATATTGTTATTACACAGCCAACAGGTAAGTATGTAATAAAATCACAATCATGATGGATTAAAAAAAACCAAACCTTTGATATCGACGATATCTTCTTTTCTTCAGTCGTCTCGCGTATATTATCATCAATGTTAGCAGTGCCATCACAAGTAAGATTACAGGAACACCTACACCAAGGCCGATAATCACGGCAAGATCGTCTGTGTGGGGGTAAAATAACGTAATATAGTGATAACAAACAAATGTTATATTCTACACGCGACGAAAGTATAACACGACAGGATCCGAACATTGAAATTGATGTTAATCTTAGATCAAATGTATTTAAATGAGTGAAGTGCAATAGATAGTGGTCCCATATATTAAATAAATAGGTACTAAAAACATCTGGCATTTTTCTTATAAAATTGAGTTTAGAATGATGCTAAATACGTACCTCCTGTATCAGACATTCTGTGGAAAAATATAAAAAAAAAGAGATTAAGTATGGTATTATGGATTCTTTGTCAAGATCAAAGTCGATCTTATACATTAAAGAATGAAATGATCATGGCAATGTATATACTTACAAACAAGATGCTTTGTTGTTCCTGTTAATACACACAAAGTTACTTTCGCAAGATTTTACTTGTTCAAAGACAGTGCAGAGGTTGCTTGCCGGGTTTACAGTCAACACTAAAAGAATAGAAAATGTATATCTACATTGTGTGATAAATTGAAAAAACCAACATATAAATATATTGAAAATACAGGAGAATGAATAAAAATAATCAAGTTATTCTGTTTGATAATCAACACACTAAAAACACAAATTAGTAAAATAACATTTTGCTATAAAAGTAAAATTAGCACACTGAGGTGTATATAGTATTCATGTCGGTGTAGGCGATCCTTGTGTTAATGTTCGTGTAATGCTGAGTGCATGTTACGTGCACAGAATTTATCTTTTATTTCATAACATAATATAAACTATAATATCAGAGATAAACATCTTTAAAATAATTTGTTGGTCCACCTACCTGATCCATCCGGTTTGATAATTCGAATTTGACGTACAGGTGTTGGATTGCCACGTATATTCAGTATCTCGTTCAGCCTCGCGAGATTCAGTAGCGCACTGGCCAGTGATGTTTGTGTAATATCTCCAGATTTTACCATCATAGATAGATGGACAGAAAGGTCGGAGACACTGAAAATAAGTCAAAATATCGTAGACAAATTAAGAGATTATAGATAGATACACAAGCAAGGCATCACCACCTTTAAATGTAAATCTAAACTTTAGATACAGTAGCGGTTAACTGCAGCTTACACCTGGTTCATACTGACTCGTCAATAATATCAAACCTTAGAGACGACAGAGGCAAATCGAAGAGGACAAAATCTTAATTTGAAGGTGCACAAGCGACATTATTCCATAGATTTTGTAAGTTTTGAATATATGATAATCTAAGAACGTGTGTATATTCCTTACCGTGTCAATGATTAAACCAATTAAAACGTATCATAATGTATCAACATCATACCTGACACCTCCTTATCAATTTTAATTGTTATTTCAGAAAAGTTGGTGCTCTCAACCACAAGAAATATTTTTATATATTGTTTTTGCACTTACGATATGTTTGTTATTGTCAAATTTGCACACCCCTCAGTGTTGTTGTTGAAATAGTCTTGGAGCTGAAACATAAATGTAAAAGCAATTTATAGCAAAATGTAAGTTCATGATCGCAACATATTTATACACGTAACAGTAATAAGAAAGATATAATGATAATGATAACAGAATTACATTTCCTTTACGCGAGTCGTTTTCTAAAGATAAAGTTGTTGCTTATATTAATAAAGCATCCTCAAAGCATGACTGCATTTCCATTGCATGGAGTTCATTTCTTTTCTAAGACTTCAGGTTGGATTTCCATATATTCAGAAAATGAAGATTTATTCAGCGTCTGGAGCCAGGAGGTCAAATTTTCGAAATTGACTTTCTTTCCCTCACATAAATTCAATCGTACCCTATGTATATGATGATAAATATAATATATAACCAAAATATGTCGTAGAATAGGTATTAGTTGTTGGGTTAGTTATTAATTAGTATTAAATCAATTTGATTTTGGTATCATGTCACGAGAGTATCAACACAGAAATGCCAGATAGCTGTTACGCTATCAATTATGTCGAAAAGTCAATTAGATTATTATAGCATGTTACGATATTAACAATAGGGATACCGTATATTTCTGTATAAATTATTGTTTTCATTCTGTTACATACCGTATACAACACAGCTAATTGCAGTGTAGATGTTAGTACAGTCTCTGAACTATTGAAGATGATGTTGATGTCGTGCGTACTTGTATCAGGCGCTACTGCTGTATTGTAACCAAATCAAACAAAATCAGTGTTTATATAATTTTATCTGAGATATACATGTTTACAAAAATATTGATTTTGAATGAAATACATCATCTGAATTTTATTGGAATAGTCTCAAACATAAATGATTAAAAAAGATAAAAAGTTAAAATTTTAATATATCTTTATCCATGAATACTTATTAGATAGCTGTCCAGTCTGTATAAGTGCTAGTGCGAAATAGTTAACTTATCCTTTTGATTCAACTACTTCTGAAATAACATAAGATATAGGACAATAATGAAAAGAATAGATAGCAAACTTACCGTTGAAGCAGGCAGGAATTAACGGCGAGGCTACAACATACATAACTATATTAAAAGAAAGTTCGCATCCAAGAACATAAATAAACAAGAATTGAATCAAATCGACGTTATGGAAAACATATTACTGTGAAGCCATAGAAGTCATGATCAAGTAAAACGGGAATGGGAACCTATCATATCGAGATAGCTGAAGAATTTCGAATGTTTTCAGTAAAGTTTTCATGATGGTGAAAAAGTGGTGCATGTTTGTAATGATATATGTGCATATGCTTAATGCTGACATTTCATGATAATTTCTGGCCAGTAGAAGGGAAAATCAAGTTCAAAATGGTGACATACTATAACGCGTGATATATTGCAATGGTATTCTTCCAGCATATTTTTGTTACAAGTTTCTTATAGTCTTCATGTTATTCAATATCAACAAAAAGAATTCAATGATAGGAAAAAGGTAAACTTGATTTAAATATTAAAGTTTGAAGAAATACAAAAACACTTACGTAAAGTTTCGTTAAATCTGCAAAACATAAAAGGAAAATAAGATTAATGTTTTTTTTTAAATGTATCTAAATATTCCGACAACCAAATAAATATCTACCGAGTCAAATGAACCATTATAAGCTACGCTTTCATTATCTAAATCTTTTTAATTTTTTAATGATTCAAAATTTGATCATTTACCCAAATTCTTTAATGCAAAATTGATGTTTTTTTTTCGAAGAAGTGATATCTTGGACGGTTGATGACATCATCGAAAAATAATGTAGTACTTACGGACATGTGTAATTGTTGTTAGAGTGTAGGCTCTCGAACATTGTGCAGAGACTCGTGGAGGCTGTTATGTTTACTAAATAAAACAGTAAAAGGTTTTATTGCTGTATTCTGGATGGATCAATGCAAAGAACAGAAACAATGATAAATTGTTGTTATAGTCTGACATGATATTTTAAAAAATATGTTCTCATTAAAAGAAAAGTTAGTCTTCATAGGAATTTGATAATCAAAGATATGTACGTTAATGCGAAAATAATACATACTTGTTAAAGCATCTGCCCTGTGTATCTAGAGTCTTTACAAAAACAATGATCATTGCTGTTGTCATGTTTACGATAAAAAATTTCACCAAATTATTTAGCTACAAATATGTCGTTATAATATTTCCTTTATTACTGCCGGTTCATAATTAAAGAAAACAGCATTGAAGGATTAACACGATACTAACATTGCAATGATTCGTCTGAGGGGTTCAACACATTGATCTCCCTAAGAGGCAAGACAGTTGTTCCAACGGTGATGTTGGTGATGCCGTTAAATAGGTCGTAAAGAAACTCCGTGAACTCTTGGTAAGCTACCGGAGTGTCAGGAACCGTTGATTCCAATGTGACGAACAAGCTGGCCAGACTGAGGGGAAAACAATAAAGCATTACGGTCGTGTAAACATATCAAAACCATCAAGAGGATTGACATACCAAGACATGTAGTTTTTTTGAGTAACAATAGTTAACCTGATACAAGACACTGTGAGACGCTCTTACTGTAAACACCATAATTTTCGCGGTTTTAACAAATTCTCAAATCATAAAGCATTTTTATTTCTCTGCTTGTTTCATTTTCAATATTTCTATTTTTATTTTCAACTATTCTTTTGTTTTCCCCGCTTTATTTTCAATGTTGCTATCATATTTTTTTATTTTGAATGTTTTTCTCTAATTTTCATAATTTCTATGTATTCGAAAATCGAGAAAAATATAACCTCTCAAAAACCACGATCTCTACAATACAACATGACTTTATCGTTCAGTTGAGATTACTTACCTGCATTGTCGAAACCGAATGAAAATTAATCTGAGTATCCTTGCAAACATAGTCCGCCGGATCTACAAAATTAAAAATGCATATATTTAGTTATAAACATGCCATCGTATATTTTATCAAAAACGTTGTTATTGAAGGGCTTGTAACAAGCAGAGAAATTCCCGTTACATGATCCAAAATGGGAAAGAACATCAATTAAATAATCTCGAGATTTTTAATGGTAATGTGGTTTTATGCTCAATTTTACATCCTGTACAATCATCAATTATTCAAACATCGCAAGATCGATTAAAATTTAGGCGACCTCATGATACATCGTAAAGTCTTTCATTCCAATTTTCGTACATAACTTCGCAGATATGAAAGTGTGCAAAACTCTTCGCTGAAAACATGTCCGTATGTATTGATAAGCTAAATGATAATTCGCAAGCACTTCTTCTCGTATCAAAACAGTAGCGAAATTTAAAGACGATGATGTCTATTATTTTAGGCATTAATCAATAAATGTAAGGTTTGCAAAAATATATTGCTGCGGAATAGTTTAGGGGGGAAATGTGCATGTCTAAACAGTTTGAATAGTTTAGGGGGGAAATGTGCATGTCTAAACAGTTTGAATAGTTTATGGGGGGAATGTGCATGTCTAAACAGTTTGAATAGTTTAGGGGGGAAATGTGTATGTCTAAACAGTTTGAATAGTTTAGGGGGGAAATGTGCATGTCTAAACAGTTTGAATAGTTTAGGGGGGAAATGTGCATGTCTAAACAGTTTGAATAGTTTAGGGGGGAAATGTGCATGTCTAAACAGTTTGAATAGTTTAGGGGGGAAATGTGCATGTCTAAACAGTTTGAATATTTTAGGGGAGAAATGTGCATGTCTAAACAGTTTGAATAGTTTATGGGGGAATGTGTATGTCTAAACAGTTTGAATAGTTTAGGGGAGAAATGTGCATGTCTAAACAGTTTGAATAGTTTATGGGGGAATGTGCATGTCTAAACAGTTTGAATAGTTTAGGGGGGAAATGTGTATGTCTAAACAGTTTGAATAGTTTAGGGGAGAAATGTGCATGTCTAAACAGTTTGAATAGTTTAGGGGGGAAATGTGCATGTCTAAACAGTTTGAATATTTTAGGGGGGAAATGTGCATGTCTAAACAGTTTGAATAGTTTAGGGGGGAAATGTGCATGTCTAAACAGTTTGAATAGTTTAGGGGGGAAATGTGTATGTCTAAACAGTTTGAATAGTTTATGGGGGGAATGTGCATGTCTAAACAGTTTGAATAGTTTATGGGGGGAATGTGCATGTCTAAACAGCTTGAATAGTTTAGGGGGGAAATGTGCATGTCTAAACAGTTTGAATAGTTTATGGGGGGAATGTGCATGTCTAAACAGTTTGAATAGTTTATGGGGGAATGTGCATGTCTAAACAGTTTGAATAGTTTAGGGGGGAAATGTGTATGTCTAAACAGTTTGAATAGTTTAGGGGGGAATGTGCATGTCTAAACAGTTTGAATAGTTTAAATAAGTATAGTTATCATAGGATCCAATTTTAGCAAATGCTGAAATTGACTTACCGCAGCCTCTATGCGTACACTCAGATTACCATTATCACAGTCGTCTGTTGTAAAAGGTCCTCTAAACACAAACGTGATTATTATGACAGCTGAAACAAAACAAATCATTAGTAGTGCAGCTATAATGATTTATAATTATTTTTTTTAAATTGCGGTATAAATGTTTCGATGCATTTGATCAAAAACAACAAAATAAAACAATGATAGAAGTTCAAAATCCTCAAGATGTTTTGAAATAGAAAAGTACATCAACATTCAAATAGGTTTCTATTTATTCACCGTGACGATGAGACTTATTGGATTCATTAAACAAGGAAGATTATCCTAGTAGTCTTTTCTGGATGTAGACTTAGCAAAGGAGTTGTAACAGTAACGGCAAACATTACTGGTGGACAAGGAGACGCTGATGAGTGGGAAGTGCTCGGAATGCTGATAGAGTTCGGAATTATGCGTTGATACAGTGGTTCGAACTACAAAAAGGATAGGAAGGCGGTTGGATGCTAGGTAATGAAGTTAATGGAGAGATGGTGTTATTGTTTCGGTAAATGTTGTTAGATTGGAAGGGGCTGTTGAAGTGTTAGGCCTGTTAAATGTGGTAGTGGTATAGAAGTGGTAGAAGTAGTAGTGCTACTTAGTAGGTGTATCAGAGTGGTAAGAGATAAAGCAGTACTAAGTTTTGTTGGAGTAGGATGTGATATAGCAGTGTTAAGTTTGTTGGAGTGGGATGTGATATAGCAGTGGTAGGTTTGTTGGAGTAGGATGTGATATAGCAGTGTTATGTTTGTTATAGTGGGATGTGACATAGGAGTGGTAGGTTTGTTGGAGTTGGATGTGATATAGAAGTGTTATGTTTGTTATATTGGGATGTGACATAGGAGTGGTTTCCTTCTTTTTACAAAGGCATGTCAAAGTATACTTACCTCTAGATGTAACAGTAGTGGTAGTAGCTGCATCAGTAGTGGAAGTGACAGCAACAGTAGTTGCAGCATCAGTGGTGTTAGTTGCTGCATTAGTAGTGGTAGTTGCTGCAAGAGTAATGGTAGTTGCTGCATCAGCAGTGGTAGCTGATGCAAGAGTAGTGGTAGTTGCTGCAAGAGTACTGGTAGTTGCTGCATCAGTAGTGGTAGTTGCTGCAAGAGTACTGGTAGTTGCTGCATCAGTAGTGGTAGTTGCTGTAAGTGTAGCGGTGGTTGGAGCATCAGTAGTGCTGGTTGCTGCATCAGTAGTGGTAGTTGCTGCAAAAGTACTGGTAGTTGCTACATCAGTGGTGGTAGTTGCTGCAAATGTAGTGGTGGTTGGAGCATCAGTAGTGGTGGTTGCTGCATCAGTAGTGGTAGTTGCTGCAAGAGTACTGGTAGTTGCTGCATCAGTAGTGGTAGTTGCTGCAAGAGTAGTGGTAGTTGCTGCAAGAGTACTGGTATTTGCTGCATCAGTAGTGGTAGTTGCTGCATCAGTAGTGGTAGGTCTTGCAAGAGTACTGGTAGTTGCTCCATCAGTAGTGGTAGTTGCTGCAAGAGTAGTGGTAGTTGCTGCAAGAGTAGTGGTAGTTGCTGCAAGAGTACTGGTACCTGCTGCAGCAGTAGTGGTAGTTGCTGCAAGTGTAGTTGTGGTTGGAGCATCAGTAGTGGTGGTTACAGCATCAGTAGTGGCAGTTACAGCATCAGTAGTGGTGGTGGCTGCGTCAGTAGTGGTAGTTGCTGCATCAGTTGTGGTAGTTGCTGCAAGTGTAGTTGTGGTTGGAGCATCATTAGTGGTGGTTGCTGCATCAGTAGTGGTAGTTGCTGGAAGAGTACTGGTAGTTGCTGCATCAGAAGTGGTGGTTGCTGCATCAGTAGTGGTAGTTGCTGCATCAGTGGTGGTAGTTGCTGCATTAGTAGTGGTAGTTGCTGCAAAAGTAGTGGTAGTTGCTGCAAGAGTACTGGTAGTTGCTGCATCAGTAGTGGTAGTGGCTGCAAGTGTAGTGGTGGTTGGAGCATCTGTAGTGGTGGTTGCTGCATCAGTAGTTGTAGTTGCTGCAAGAGTACTGGTAGTTGCTGCATCAGTAGTGGTAGTGGCTGCGTCAGTAGTGGTAGTTGCTGCATCAGTAGTGGTAGTTGCTGCAAGAGTAGTGGTAGTTGCTGCATCAGTAGTGGTAGTTGCTGCATCAGTAGTGGTGGTTGCTGCAAGTGTAGTTGAGGTTAGAGCATCAGTAGTGGTGGTTGCTGCATTAGTAGTGGTAGTTACTGCAAGTGTAGTGGTGGTTGGAGCATCATTAGTGGTGGTTGCTGCATCAGTAGTGGTAGTTGCTGCAAGAGTACTGGTAGTTGCTGCATCAGTGGTGGTAGTTGCTGGATTAATAGTGGTAGTTGCTGCATCAGTAGTGGTAGTTTCTGCATCAGTAGTGGTAGTTACTGCAAGTGTAGTGGTGGTTGGAGCATCATTAGTGGTGGTTGATGCATCAGTAGTGGTAGTTGCTGGAAGAGTACTGGTAGTTGCTGCATCAGAAGTGGTGGTTGCTGCATCAGTAGTGGTAGTTGCTGCATCAGTAGTGGTAGTTGCTGCATCAGTAGTGGTAGTTGCTGCATCAGTAGTGGTAGTTGCTGCATCAGTGGTGGTAGTTGCTGCATTAGTAGTGGTAGTTTCTGCATCAGTAGTGGTAGTTGCTGCATCAGTGGTGGTAGTTGCTGCATTAGTAGTGGTAGTTTCTGCATCAGTAGTGGTAGTTGCTGCATCAGTAGTGGTAGTTGCTGCAAGTGTAGTGGTGGTTGGAGCATCAGTAGTGGTGGTTGAAGCTTCAGTAGTGGTAGTTGCTGCATCAGGAGTGGTAGTTGATGCAAGAGTAGTGGTAGTTGCTGCAAGAGTACTGGTAGTTGCTGCATCAGTAGTGGTAATTGCTGCATCAGTAGTGGTAGTTGCTGCAAGTGTAGTTGTGGTTGGAGCATCAGTAGTGGTGGTTACTGCATCAGTAGTGGTAGTTGCTGCAATAGTAGTGGTAGTGGCTGCATCAGTAGTGGTGGTCGGAGCATCAGTAGTGGTAGTTGCTGCATCAGTTGTGGAAGTTAATGCAAGAGTACTGGTAGTTGCTGCATCAGTAGTGGTAGTTGCTGCAAGAGTACTGGTAGTTGCTGCAGCAGTAGTGGTTGTTGCTGCAAGAGTACTGGTAGTTGCTGCATCAGTAGTGGTAGTTGCTGCAAGAGTACTGGTAGTTGCTGCATCAGTAGTGGTAGTTGCTGCAAGAGTAGTGGTAGTTGCTGCAAGTGTAGTGGTGGTTGGAGTATCAGTAGTGGTAGTTGCTGCATCAGTAGTGGTAGTTGCTGCTTCAGTAGTGGTAGTTGCTGCATCAGTAGTGGTAGTTGCTGGAAGAGTAGTGGTGGTCGGAGCATCAGTAGTGGTAGTTGCTGCATCAGTTGTGGTAGTTAATGCAAGAGTACTGGTAGTTGCTGCATTAGTAGTGGTAGTTGCTGCAAGTGTAGTGGTGGTTGGAGCATCAGTAGTGGTGGTTGCTGCATCAGTAGTGGTAGTTGCTTCAAGAGTACTGGTAGTTGCTGCATCATTAGTGGTAGTTGCTGCATTAGTAGTGGTAGTTGCTGCATCAGTAGTGGTAGTTGCTTCAAGAGTACTGGTAGTTGCTGCATCAGTAGTGGTAGTTGCTGCAAGAGTACTGGTTGTTGCTGCATCAGTAGTGGTAGTTGCTGCATCAGTAGTGGTAGTTGCTGCAAGTGTAGTTGTGGTTGGAGCATCAGTAGTGGTGGTTGCTGCATCAGTAATGGTAGTTGCTGCAAGAGTACTGGTAGTTGCTGCATCAGTAGTGGTAGTTGCTGGAAGAGTACTTGTAGTTGCTGCATCAGTAGTGGTAGTTGCTGCAAGTGTACTGGTAGTTGCTGCATCAGTAGTGGTAGTGGCTGCATCAGTAGTGGTAGTTGCTTCATCAGTAGTGGTAGTGGCTGCATCAGTAGTGGTAGTTGCTGCAAGAGTACTGGTAGTTGCTGCATCAGTAGTGGTAGTTGCTGCAAGTGTACTGGTAGTTGCTGCATCAGTAGTGGTAGTTGCTGCAAGTGTACTGGTAGTTGCTGCATCAGTAGTGGTAGTTGCTGCAAGTGTACTGGTAGTTGCTGCATCAGTAGTGGTAGTGGCTGCATCAGTAGTGGTAGTTGCTGCATCAGTAGTGGTAGTTGCTGCAAGTGTACTGGTAGTTGCTGCAACAGTAGTGGTAGTTGCTGCAAGTGTACTGGTAGTTGCTGCATCAGTAGTGGTAGTTGCTGCAAGAGTACTGGTAGTTGCTGCATCAGTAGTGGTAGTTGCTGCATTAGTAGCGGTAGTTGCTGCAAGAGTACTGGTAGTTGCTGCATCAGTAGTGGTTGTTGCTGTATCAGTAGTGGTAGTTGCTTCAAGAATACTGGTAGTTGCTGCATCAGTAGTGGTAGTTTGTGAATGTTTTATTGTTGTTGCATCTGTAGTGGTGGTTGCTGCATCAGTAGTTGTAGTTGCTGCAAGAGTACTGGTAGTTGCTGCATCAGTAGTGGTAGTGGCTGCGTCAGTAGTGGTAGTGGCTGCGACAGTATTGGTAGTGGTTGCATCAGTAGTGGTAGTGGCTGCATCAGCAGTGGTAGTTGCTGCAAGAGTACTGGTAGTTGCTGCATCAGTAGTGGTAGTGGCTGCGTAAGTAGTGGTAGTGTCTGCGTCAGTAGTGGTAGTGGCTGCGTCAGTAGTGGTAGTGGCTGCGTCAGTATTGGTAGTGGTTGCATCAGTAGTGGTAGTGGCTGCATCAGTAGTGGTAGTTGCTGCATCAGTAGTGGTAGTTGCTGCATCAGTAGTGGTAGTTGCTGCAAGAGTAGTGGTAGTTGCTGCATCAGTAGTGGTAGTTGCTGCATCAGTAGTGGTAGTTGCTGCATCAGTAGTGGTAGTTGCTGCATCAGTAGTGGTGGTTACAGCATCAGTAGTGGCAGTTACAGCATCAGTAGTGGTGGTGGCTGCGTCAGTAGTGGTAGTTGCTGCATCAGTTGTGGTAGTTGCTGCATCAGTAGTGGTAGTTGCTGCATCAGTAGTGGTAGTTGCTGCATCAGTAGTGGTAGTTGCTGCATCAGTTGTGGTAGTTGCTGCATCAGTAGTGGTAGTTGCTGCATCAGTAGTCGTAGTTGCTGCATCAGTAGTGGTAGTTGCTGCATCAGTTGTTAGTTGCTGCATCAGTAGTGGTAGTTGCTGCATCAGTAGTGGTAGTTGCTGCATCAGTAGTGGTAGTTGCTGCATCAGTAGTGGTAGTTGCTGCATCAGTAGTGGTAGTTGCTGCATCAGTAGTGGTAGTTGCTGCATCAGTAGTGGTAGTTGCTGCATCAGTAGTGGTAGTTGCTGCATCAGTAGTGGTAGTTGCTGCATCAGTAGTGGTAGTTGCTGCATCAGTAGTGGTAGTTGCTGCTTCAGTAGTGGTAGTTGCTGCAAGAGTAGTGGTAGTTGCTGCAAAAGTAGTGGTAGTTGCTGCAAGAGTACTGGTAGTTGCTGCATCAGTAGTGGTAGTTGCTGCAAGTTGTGGTAGTTGCTGCATCTGTGTAGTTGCTGCATCAGTAGTGGTAGTTGCTGCATCAGTAGTGGTAGTTGCTGCATCAGTAGTGGTAGTTGCTGCATCAGTAGTGGTAGTTGCTGCATCAGTAGTGGTAGTTGCTGCATCAGTAGTGGTAGTTGCTGCATCAGTAGTAGTTGCTGCATCAGTAGTTGCTGCATCAGTAGTGGTAGTTGCTGCATCAGTGTAGTGGTAGTTGCTGCATCAGTAGTGGTAGTTGCTGCATCAGTAGTGGTAGTTGCTGCATCAGTAGTGGTAGTTGCTGCATCAGTAGTGGTAGTTGCTGCATCAGTAGTGGTAGTTGCTGCATCAGTAGTGGTAGTTGCTGCATCAGTAGTGGTAGTTGCTGCATCAGTAGTGGTAGTTGCTGCATCAGTTGTGCTAGTTGCTGCATCAGTAGTGGTAGTTGCTGCATCAGTTGTGTAGTAGTGGTAGTTGCTGCATCAGTAGTGGTAGTTGCTGCATCAGTAGTGGTAGTTGCTGCATCAGTTGTGGTAGTTGCTGCATCAGTAGTGGTAGTTGCTGCATCTGTTGTGGTAGTTGCTGCATCAGTAGTGGTAGTTGCTGCATCAGTAGTGGTAGTTGCTGCATCAGTAGTGGTAGTTGCTGCATCAGTAGTGGTAGTTGCTGCATCAGTAGTGGTAGTTGCTGCATCAGTAGTGGTAGTTGCTGCATCAGTAGTGGTAGTTGCTGCATCAGTAGTGGTAGTTGCTGCATCAGTAGTGGTAGTTGCTGCATCAGTTGTGGTAGTTGCTGCATCAGTAGTGGTAGTTGCTGCATCAGTAGTGGTAGTTGCTGCATCAGTAGTGGTAGTTGCTGCATCAGTAGTGGTAGTTGCTGCATCAGTAGTAGTAGATGCTGCATCAGTAGTCGTAGATGCTGCATCAGTAGTGGTAGTTGCTGCATCAGTAGTGGTAGTTGCTGCATCAGTAGTGGTAGTTGCTGCATCAGGTGTGGTAGTTGCTGCATCAGTAGTGCTGCATCAGTAGTTGCTGCATCAGTAGTGGTAGTTGCTGCAGTTGCTGCATCAGTAGTGGTAGTTGCTGCATCAGTAGTCGTAGTTGCTGCATCAGTAGTGGTAGTTGCTGCATCAGTTGTGGTAGTTGCTGCATCAGTAGTGGTAGTTGCTGCATCAGTAGTGGTAGTTGCTGCATCAGTAGTGGTAGTTGCTGCATCAGTAGTGGTAGTTGCTGCATCAGTAGTGGTAGTTGCTGCATCAGTTGTGGTAGTTGCTGCATCAGTAGTGGTAGTTGCTGCATCAGTAGTGGTAGTTGCTGCATCAGTAGTGGTAGTTGCTGCATCAGTTGTGGTAGTTGCTGCATCAGTAGTCGTAGTTGCTGCATCAGTTGTGGTAGTTGCTGCATCAGTAGTGGTAGTTGCTGCATCAGTAGTGGTAGTTGCTGCATCAGTAGTGGTAGTTGCTGCATCAGTAGTGGTAGTTGCTGCATCAGTTGTGGTAGTTGCTGCATCAGTTGTGGTAGTTGCTGCATCAGTAGTGGTAGTTGCTGCATCAGTTGTGGTAGTTGCTGCATCAGTAGTGGTAGTTGCTGCATCAGTTGTGGTAGTTGCTGCATCAGTAGTGGTAGTTGCTGCATCAGTTGTGGTAGTTGCTGCATCAGTAGTGGTAGTTGCTGCATCAGTAGTGGTAGTTGCTGCATCAGTAGTGGTAGTTGCTGCATCAGTAGTGGTAGTTGCTGCATCAGTAGTGGTAGTTGCTGCATCAGTAGTGGTAGTTGCTGCATCAGTAGTGGTAGTTGCTGCATCAGTAGTGGTAGTTGCTGCATCAGTAGTGGTAGTTGCTGCATCAGTTGTGGTAGTTGCTGCATCAGTAGTGGTAGTTGCTGCATCAGTAGTGGTAGTTGCTGCATCAGTAGTGGTAGTTGCTGCATCAGTAGTGGTAGTTGCTGCATCAGTAGTGGTAGTTGCTGCATCAGTAGTGGTAGTTGCTGCATCAGTAGTGGTAGTTGCTGCATCAGTAGTGGTAGTTGCTGCATCAGTAGTGGTAGTTGCAGCATCAGTAGTGGTAGTTGCTGCATCAGTAGTGGTAGTTGCTGCATCAGTAGTGGTAGTTGCTGCATCAGTAGTGGTAGTTGCTGCATCAGTTGTGGTAGTTGCTGCATCAGTTGTGGTAGTTGCTGCATCAGTAGTCGTAGTTGCTGCATCAGTAGTGGTAGTTGCTGCATCAGTTGTGGTAGTTGCTGCATCAGTAGTGGTAGTTGCTGCATCAGTAGTGGTAGTTGCTGCATCAGTAGTGGTAGTTGCTGCATCAGTAGTGGTAGTTGCTGCATCAGCTGCATCAGTAGTGGTAGTTGCTGCATCAGTAGTAGTGGCAACAGTAGTGGTGCTGCATCAGTAGTGGTAGTTGCTGCATCAGTTGTGGTAGTTGCTGCATCAGTAGTGGTAGTTGCTGCATCAGTAGTGGTAGTTGCTGCATCAGTAGTGGTAGTTGCTGCATCAGTAGTGGTAGTTGCTGCATCAGTAGTGGTAGTTGCTGCATCAGTAGTGGTAGTTGCTGCATCAGTAGTGGTAGTTGCTGCATCAGTAGTGGTAGTTGCTGCATCAGTAGTGGTAGTTGCTGCATCAGTAGTGGTAGTTGCTGCATCAGTAGTGGTAGTTGCTGCATCAGTTGTGGTAGTTGCTGCATCAGTAGTGGTAGTTGCTGCATCAGTAGTGGTAGTTGCTGCATCAGTAGTGGTAGTTGCTGCATCAGTAGTGGTAGTTGCTGCATCAGTAGTGGTAGTTGCTGCATCAGTAGTGGTAGTTGCTGCAGTAGTGTAGTGGCTGCATCAGTAGTGGTAGTTGCTGCATCAGTAGTGGTAGTTGCTGCATCAGTAGTGGTAGTTGCTGCATCAGTAGTGGTAGTTGCTGCATCAGTTGTGGTAGTTGCTGCATCAGTAGTGGTAGTTGCTGCATCAGTAGTGGTAGTTGCTGCATCAGTTGTGGTAGTTGCTGCATCAGTTGTGGTAGTTGCTGCATCAGTAGTGCTGCATCAGTTGTGGTAGTTGCTGCATCAGTAGTGGTAGTGGCTGCATCAGTAGTGGTAGTTGCTGGAAGAGTAGTGGTGGTCGGAGCATCAGTAGTGGTAGTTGCTGCATCAGTAGTAGTAGATGCTGTCAGGTAGTTGCTGCATCAGTAGTGGTAGTTGCTGCATCAGTAGTGGTAGTGCTGCATCAGTAGTGGTAGTTGCTCAGTAGTGGTAGTCAGTAGTGGTAGTTGCTGCATCAGTAGTGGTAGTTGCTGCATCAGTAGTGGTAGTTACAGCATCAGTAGTTGTAGTTGCCGCATCTGTAGTGGTAGTGGCTGCGTCAGTAGTGGTAGTGATCGCATCAATAGTGGTAGTTGCCGCATCAGTAGTGGTAGTGGCTGCATCAGTAGTGGTAGTTGATGGATCAGTAGTCGTAGTTACAGCATCAGTAGTTGTAGTTTCCGCATCTGTAGTGGTAGTGGCTGTGTCAGTAGTGCTAGTTGCCGCAACAGTACTGGTAGTGGCTGCGTCAGTAGTGGTAATGGCTGCATCAGTAGTGGTAGTGGCTGCGTCAGTAGTGGTAGTAGCTGCATCAGTAGTGGTAGTTGCTGCATCAGTAGTGGTAGTTGCAGCATCAGTAGTGGTAGTTGCAGCATCAGTAGTGGTAGTTGCCGCATCAGTAGTGGTAGTGGCAGTAGTGGTAGTTGCTGCAAGAGTAGTGGTAGTTGCTGCAAAAGTAGTGGTAGTTGCTGCAAGAGTACTGGTAGTTGCTGCATCAGTAGTGGTAGTTGCCGCATCTGTAGTGGTAGTGGCTGCATCAGTAGTGGTAGTTATTGCATTTGCAGTGGTAGTAGCTGCATCAGTAGTCGTAGTTGCTTCAAGTGTAG